TAATTTTAGTTGCCAGTGAAATCTCTTAAGGTGCCAAGTTAAGTCTCTGTATAAACAATCACTCAAAATTCTTGAAAAGAAATCAGTAAAATTTCATCATTGCTCAATACTTTATATATATATATACATACACCTGCACATTGTTCCACATGGGGTGGAGAAAGAGGGGACTGTATTATTCCTCTCAGAAAATGTAAATTTAGTCAGTCTGTATTTTCAGTTAAAGCCGCAAGGGAATGGAACTCATTCCCTAAGAAGACGGATATGGTTCTTTTAAGTTTGATCTTAAAAAAAAAATGGTCACTTGCTACTCAGAACTGTCAACATAGCATCTAATATCCTGATTTTAGTTTTTACTTTCTTTGTAATAATTGCTCTTGGTTATTTGCTTTCTCCTGTCACCATTCCCGAGCAGTATTAATGCACTGAAATGCCACTTCAGTGTTAATTTGGCATTAGACATAAAAAGAGCAGTGTGGTAAAAAAGTAATCATACATCCGTAAGATTTAGCTTGATTTAACTGTTTAGTCGCTTCGCATTGATTAGGGTTATCTAAAGTTTTTTGTGAATAAACTCATACATCGCTGAGACAAAAAAAAAAAGGGCAAATTGGCTTGAACCTGCATGACCATTTCTTTTTTTAGTAAGTTCAACAACTCAGCAAACACTTATCAGATGTAGGCCCGGATACATAAACACTAAGAGGCTGTTGCTGTCTGATTCTATCACAATGCACACATGGCACATGCTGCTGCACATGATGCTCTAGGATGAAATACTGGTTTTAAAGTCTCTTCATGTGTGTAAAAAAAAAAACATTCCCATGCAAGTTTATTATGACAGGAACTAATGATTGATTTTCAGGCATTAAGTGAATATTTGACATTCTGCCCATTCAAATTTGTGGAGAATGTGTGATCTCAGCAGAAGGTGAAGTCTGTTTTGTAGGTCCATAAAAGGACAGAAATCTGATATACCACTAAATGATATTAAGCATTGTGAGGAAGCATACAAGGCGTCCAGTATATTTGAATAGCCTACTATTTGAATAAATATTTTCATAGTCTTCTTGTGCGGATTCATCTTTCATAGTATATTCCAATCAAGAGCAGACTGAACACTGACTGTAAATTGTACACTCTTACCAACATATACGATAGGAGATGAGGAAGGGAGTCTAGACACATTGATTTCACATGTATGCATGATATTATTAGTCCTAGGATTCAACTGAATCAACCCGCCATTTTTATCCGAAGGATAAGTAACTCAATAGGGCAGTTTAGATTCTGGACTCAGTACAGCAGCCATGTTATATTTAAGAGCAGAGTAAACCCAGTAAATACCATTTATTTTCACTTTAGAAGAATTGATTTTTAATTTAACAATAAGTTAAAAAACCATAGACAGACCTACTGTGAGCTGTGAGGCTGGTTAATCGATGGTAGATGCTTTTTTGAAACCATCAAACCCACATTATTTCAACAAATTTTTTAAATGATCATATGCTGCGTTCACATCATGTTGTAATTACCATTAATAAAGCTCTGTATGCTATCAAATCACTCTACTTTGATGTCATTCACCGATCAGTTTGCACAGCGCCACTTCAAGTCGAACACACCTAAGGGTGTGTTCACATTTGTAGTTCGGTATGCTTGGTTTGTTTGGTCCGGACCAAAAAAAACCCCAAAACATTTAGTCCTGGTCCGCTTAGCGTTCAGATTGGAATTTTTATCACCGAACCTAAAGGCATAGGGATATGTTCACAACCTGATTGGTCGGCTTTCGTATAGCCTATTTTGAGACGGTGTGGTGAAGTGCTGAGTCCCAGTTCAGGACCCCAGTAGTATGCCTGATCTAAAGCTGTTCTCGCGATTCTTAATGTAATCAATCAAACTTAAATTCATGTAATAATCTTTTATTTTTATCCTGATTATTTATATAAAGTGAAAGAAATTGCATTATTAGGTATGTTTTGCGACATTGTTAATTGTTATTAAAGCTGCAGTCCGTAGCTTTTTTTGGGGGGTTAAAAATTATCCATTAACATTTAACATTTATTCATTTAGCTGACGCTTTTATCCAAAGCGATTTACAATTGCTATATTTCAGAGGTTGCACGCCTCTGGAGCAACTAGGGGTTAAGTGTCTTGCTCAGGGACACATTGGTGTCTCACAGTGGATTCGAACCCGGGTCTCTCACACCAAAGGCATGTGTCTTATCCACTGCGCCATCACCACCCACATTTATCCAATAAATATGGGTGGTGGGAGAAAATACATAACAGCCAGTGTTCAAAACTATCTGCTTACCTTAGCTCGATTCAAAGCGGTAAGCTTGTAATAATGTTTTTAATTTTAGTGGTACTGGTGGATTTCCGTGGGAGATTCGAGCATGTCTTTGCATCATTACATCACATCTGTACACATAAAGTAGGAGTCTCGGCTAGTCGGCTATATTGCGTGTGAGGATGTTGGAGGTGGAGATTTATAGCCTTTTCTCACAGCACTTGATATAATTAAACTTATCAATTTGATGGCGGATCCAGAAAGGTTCAAACGACAATCACCAATGACAACTGATTCACCCGCTGTAAAATGCAAAAGACTTCGTTCGGACTTCGGAGTGGCTAACTTAAAAAGAGACTGCAACCGGACCCATGCGAAAACAAGGATAATATCGGAAGGACATTACATGTAGTCACACAATGCTGACTTTGTTAACATTAACAATTTGAGAACAAAGTATCATTTGCACAGTTTTGCGTGATATGATAAGCGATTGTTAGATTTACTCGATTTACTGCACGATTTACTGCAATGTCAGAACCAGAACAAAAGTGGATGTTTCTTACTTGTTCAGATTACATTTTCCGGTGAAAATTCTTATGTTGGTCATACTTCCAAAAAGAATAATCAGTGATTCTGAATGCCAGTATCCACACCGGCGCGGTGACTGACAGCTGCACACTCTCCTCAAACACTGTGTTCATCCGCGCTGTGCCGTGTCGAGGGTGTTGAAGTACAACTCACGTAAAGTTGATAATTCCGCGAATAACTGCAATTGCAGATTTCGAACAGAGATGGCGACAAAGAGGAAAAACTGCGGACAGCAGCTTTAAGCAATAAGTCATAATTAACTTTTCTTTAAATTACAAGTATGTCATGTCATAATTAATTCTTAAACAGAATTATGCTTGTATCATATTTGTTATCGAAGATTTTATCGAAAAATATCAAAGTTGGTGAAAAAGCTGTATGCGATGTATGCTGTGTGCTGGGATAAATGCGCTCGTATGTGCATAACCTACTTGAGAACTCGCAAAGAGCTTATAAAATGTGTAAAGGAGTCAAAATAGCAGCAGGAATCCCTCCATCACACACACAAATGAAGATCTGCTGCAAGGAGACGCGGTTCTGATGCCTGTATCGAACTGTGATGGATGGGCAACATCACGACTATGACTTTTTAGGGTCTCATCTTCCTGTCTTTGGTTCGTTTACATGTCTTTGGTCCGTGTGCATTTCATTCGACCGCACCAGAGTTTGTTTGGTTTTTTTGTTTGGTGAGCACCAGGGTTTGGATGGCAGCTTTCACACTTATTCAAATGAACTGCACTTACAAACCAATCACACCAGGGTTTGTCTTAAACGAACCAAACATACCAAGTGTGACTGTGTGAACAGATCCTTAAAGTCCCCGTGAACTGGATGTTGCAACCAACTGGATGTTGTTTAACATCCAGTCTCAATCTCAATCTCCTCTCAGTCTCAATCCCTCGCTTATTGCAGACTGATGGTTGGAAGGGAGTGGAGGTGGTCATGTGGTACAAGTCGTAGCTCTCAGAAAATTATTAGTTTACACATTGTAATTACAAGTTCTACAAGCACGTGACAGCTTTATAAAGTTCAGAATCGACCACATGGCGTGAACACACCTATATTAAACAGAGGTATTCCTGGTGAAAAAATACATTAGCCATGATTCTGCAAAGATATCTCCACCAATCAGAGAATCGAAACAAATCACAAATTGTGCCAAAAGAATGATGTATAAATGTCAATGCTTCTTGTGATTGTAGTTCTTTCCCTCATTAAAGTCGTATACCTAATATTATGCATAACAACATACGACATAGTAGTCTTGTTGTGACTATTCTAGCAAGCAACAACAACAAAAAATCCACTTAAAGAATCTTCGCAATAAAAAATGTTTTCATGTAAATTGCTGTTCTTAATTATTGATTATGTGGTAACCGTTTTATAAAACGCACAGGGGTCTCTCGTACCTTTTTCACCTGAATTAATTACTTAGGCTACTAATTAAGTAATTAATTAAGTAGGCCTAATTAATTACTGAAAGCAATATCACAGACCCGGTCTGTCATAGCGAATACAGCTGTGATTACATGTGGCAAGAGGCAATTCCTTTTCGGGTGACACTGTAAATAATAAACTACATTTGTGCGCTATATTTTGTTATGGATCGTGAAAAAAAAGAGTTTATAGTAACGTTAAATAAGTGCTTCGACATTACAAAATGTTACAACAGACAATCACGTGTATAACGTCTCTAAAATCACTGCAGCCTATCCGTTGCTGTCTGTCTCGACACTCGACAGGCTCTTACCTGACTAGTGCGACCTCTTACAAATACATAAATTCACATTGGAACAAATCAACAAAAGCCCTGTCATTCATAAAACGAGCACCAATGTTAATACAAAGCGGTTAATAGCATTAAATACCAGTGGACAAATCTGACCCTGAGGAAAATCACGCAATCCCTTCTTAATATACAAGCACCATAGAGACACTATCAGCGCGTCTCAACGCCAAATGTATCTGCACACGCGAGTAACAAAGTAATAAAGGGCATTTTTCTATTCCTGAGCGCGTGGTGCTGAAAATATTCCCTCAGTGTCGCGTGAATCTAATCCATTGACGAATTATCAACGGTCTGACAGCGCTCAGTAACACCGCTCTTTTTACTCACCAAGAAGAAAATGTAGACCTCTGACGAGGCTTTACGTGCTTCAGGCGACCAGTCTAAGAGAGCCCTTACTTTGTAAAGAGAAATTCAGCGCGGAGATTCCTAAAGGCTTCCTTCAGTTCTGGCGACCATGTTTGTCCTGACTGGCTGACTGACTGACTGTTGCTGGTGTGTGGCTGTGCATCCGGGCGCTTGGGGGATCAGGGGGCAGGAGCTTTCCGTGTACGGAGAAAAAACGGGAATGAACGTGTGGAGACGAACCAACGCAAAGTCCTGTCCCCTTCAGCTGAAGTATCAACCAAATGTCAGTGGATTCAAGCAAACTGGCGTTTTATTAGGTTTATTATGGGATGATATTACCGAAATGTATCCTTGTGGGTGCACGAGCCACGAGGTCAATGCTTTTTCTGGGGAAACCTCTAAGGAGGTTTATTGTAATGTCTGGATCACGTAACGAGAGATCGATAACCATAATAAATCTCGATTGGGATAAGAATACACTAGGTATAAATTCTCAATTCGAAATATTGATGTTTTATGTTTCCGGGCAGGTAGTTGTCAGGGTACGTAGGCTACTGTTACGTAACAACATTCGCGCGTTCTCAACACATGCGCTCCACACGAGACTGGGAAGTCCGACTCCTTTCTGCGAATCGGTTCTGTTTATGATTCGTTTTAAAAAAAAAAACTGTTAAAACGATTCAGCGGTTATTTTACACTCGGGTCACGTGGTCCCTGGCATTACACGCTAACGTTCAACAAATGCGTTTTATTAATGAGGGAGTTCGTTGTAATTTCATATGATTCATCTCATATAAGTTTAGAATATTTGCATTACATTAAACAATTATATATATATATATATATATATATATATATATATATATATATATATATATACCGGTATATATATCAATATGTGCATTTTAATATTTTAAATAGGGATAATTCAGGATAATTGGTCCCAAATAATTTACTTAATTATTTTCTTGAACGAATTGTTCAGACCAATTGTGTGATTCAAACGATTCATTGAACAAACTCAACTCTGACTCGGATTCATCAATCGGACATACACGACGAGACAAGTTCAGAAGAGTAACACCACAAGTTCACTGAGTTCATCCTAGACATTGATATACAGCATCAACATTAAGGTAACATAGGAATATAACATTATAACACGTTTACCTCTGTTAATTGCTACCATACGTGCACCAGTCAGAATTGTGCCAGGTTGCTTCAATATGTTAATAATAGAGGACGTTTTTTCTTCAGTTCTTACAGTTTGATAACATGAACTCTATTACTATATTCTGCATACTGTATATTGGCCGTTTGCATAATTAAAGTTAAATTATTCGAGAAGTTGATTGTTGCAATTTTTCGTTCACATGCATACGGTATTCAAGTAGGCTAGCCTACATTTAAGAAGATCAAAAATGTCACACTCATTGCTGCTATAACTAAGAGATAATTAAGATGCAGTTCGATAATATGAAATGGCCTATAGACTTGGCCGTTTGCAAAATTAAAGTTAAATCATTAACTTGATTGTGATTTTTCATCCACATATATATTTAAAGGGATAGTTCACCCAAAAATGAAAATTGTGTCATCATTTACTCACCCTCAAATTGTTCCAAACATGTATGAGTTTCTTTCTTCTGTTGAACACTAAAGAAAATATTTTGAAGAATGTTGGTAACCAGACAGTTGACGGTAGCCTAGTAGGAAAAAAATACTGTGGAAGTCATTGGGCCCAATCTTATTTTGTGTTCCAGCAGATAAAAAAAAAAATCATACAGGTTTGGAACAACTTGAGGGTGAGTAAATGATGACAATTTTCAAAAATGCCAAACTTGGTGAACAGCGCCCTCTGCTGTTTCATCCCGAGATGCAAATGTTGATTTAGTAAAACGAGAAGTGCTCGTTAAATTAAAAAAATAAAAAACATTTCAGTGAATAATGCTCATTTCTACATCAAACTAATAACATCCCTCTTAAATCATATAACAAACCGGTTGCTAGGGATTAAACAATGAGGCAGAAAACATTTGACATCCATGATTCAGTTCAAGCTATTCCAGAGTGGGCAGTGGCTGGCAGAGCCAAACAAAGCCCTTCTATGAGACTTATTAATCTGAGGGAGGGAGTTTTAGTTTTGAGTCTATTTGCATAATTTAAAATATGATATTTTTTATGATAAAATTGATATACAATCAATAGAAAATGGAGTAGGGTAACATCATGTTTTATACATTACACAGTTGGGTTGTAGGGCGTGATTTTTACTACACTAGATGGCGGTGGAGCTTTCTAAATAAAGTGCCTCAGAAAGTTCAACACTGCAGTGCTAGACAAATGCGCTAGACAGGGCTGAGATGATGAGAGCTAAATAAGGGCAACTAGTGTGATGATGAATTAAAGAGTGATTGTTGACTTATCTTCACAAGATCAATAATTGTGAAAACAAAATGTCAACAAATGAGGCGAGCAGTGCACATTTACTGTAAATCAAGTTACAAAAGTTGATATTTAGTCATACCTTTCAGTCTTCCCATGAAAAAGGTAAATAAATAAAGGATAAAAAAAGATGGGTCTGGAGGTTCTTACTAATAAATGAAATAAATTTTGACCACCCTCCAGTTTATGATCACACAGATATAAATTGATAAACAGTGAAATCTTTTTGTTGTTGAGTAAACATGTTCATGCCTTATTATTGTAACATGAGCAAATGTTTTTTTTTATATCACTAATCCATCTCTACATTAAGTATAACACTGAACTGAATGTGACAATATAAATAAAAAGCGTTTATAAAAATATAAAAAGAAAACAAAAAGATTCAGGTAAATTTCCACACAAGAATTTAAGGTAAAAAAAAAAGAGGGAGGTAATAGTGCCAGGTTAGTAAACTCGTTAATAGGTTGTCAAAGAGTTAAACAGCTTGGGACCATCATGATTAAAGTCCACTTTTTATTTTATTTTTTTAAAAAACAAGCAATCTGCAGTTAGAAGATATAGACTAGATGGATTATATGTAGCAATTATATTGCTATGGTATGCAGGGGCAACACCCTATTCTGTTCTGTAAGACAGCAGTGAAGGGATTTAAGTGCCAAAATGTGATTCTTTAGTACAGAATGAACCTATATTCTGTGAAACAAGGTAAGTCACTTAAATTCACTTCACTCTGGGATTTGGAAGACAATAGGTGAGCTTACTTGTACTAAATGGCACAACACACACACACAAATCAGGAATGTGAATTATGTCCTGGTCAGAATGGGCAGAGAAGATTCTGATTGGCCGAGGGGGCTGTCAGCATTGAGGTTTAAAGCTCGTGGTCAGATTAGATGAGAGAATGAGAACTGTGCAAGAAGGACCAAAATAGCAGGAAGGACTCATTTTAAGCCTTGCGAAAATCCATCATGACTCTCACTGAGATTCTCTTCATCTTGACTGGGACTTGCACCGTCCTGGTTTTTGGAGGGAAACTAGTATGCCTTCTTATGATGCTTGCTCCGAAGCTCTTCTGTCCTCTTTCTGAATCTTTTTTCACCTCTATGGGGAAATGGGCAGGTGAGATACACCAACAGTTTGACTTTATTTCCTGTATTTTTGTCTTAAGCATGCATTTTTATTTATATAACAGGCAGTTTAGTTTAAATATTATACTTCAAAGATTTTTGCAGGGGAAAAAATAGAGAAAGATGTCATTTAGCAACAAAAAAAAATACTTTTACTAAAATTACATTACTACATTAGCCTAAATCATGCTTAATAGATAATTAGTTTAAAAGTAAGTTATTAGTTGACAGTTAGAAGTGTCATGATTTAAGCATTTAAGAAAATGCAATGTTTTTGTATGTTGAAAACATGCTGCTGTGCCTTGAGGGACAACCGCTGGTTGAGAACAGTCAGAGTGAAGCCAGCACTATCTTGCTTTTGTTCCACTGTTTGACTCCGGAACAATTTTCTCGTCTCACTTTAAATTGTCACTCACAAAATGTCTTGCTTCCCTAAACAGGACTTTTATTGTTGGCAAAAGGGGATCCTCTTTATGGCTTTCTTGAAATTATACTGTTTATACCAGCTCAGCAACACAAAACAACAATTCCAGCCACTTTTTCCCAAGCTTCCTTTCCATTCCATTCCGGCACTGAGAGTGGCAGAGAACAAAAGGCAATTAGAACAGTATGTTCTAGGACGCTATTTCTCTATTCATTTCTTGATTTTGAATGGTTGTTCCTGTTCATTTTAAAACAAATTAACCTTACTTTTTCTCTCTTTCCGCAACTAATTCTTTCACTTTGAGGCTTTGAAAAGTTCTTCCTGGTGTGTGTGTGTGTGCATTACAATATCCCTTCCCAGGGGGTGTTTTCTAGCATGTTAAGACATAGTACATCTGCTGTTCTTTTCACTTTGAATAAATATTCATGCAGAGAGTTTTGCAATTTATCCTGCACATTCTAGATGTCACACAGTTGGTTTGGCCTGTATAAATGTATGATATGTGTGTGTGTGTGTTGTGTGGTCACCGTGATTTTGCCAAGTAAGACATGTTCCTGGATCAACATATTTTGTTGATCCTGGATCAACATTCCTGTCCCGAAATGTAGTCCTTACCCAATCCCTACCCATAACTTTTCCCTAAAATCAGAGGGTAATGATAGGTGAATAACACTGATATTTAAGTACTTCACCCTGGTTCTAAGCCTAAACTTGACATAAACTGTGAACTTGTCCCTCAAATCTGATTGGTTGATTGGAAAGTTGATCCAGGATCAACAAAGATGTTGATCCAGGAACATGTGGTACTTGGTGAAATCACGTTCACCGTGTGGGTCTATATATATACACACATACAACTTGTTTGAGTTTAGAGCTCCTGTGGGTTATCAAATGGGCACCCCCCTTCCTTGATGTTTCGTCGATTTAAGACCATGACATCTCAGGGAGGCTTGACGGTAGAACCAGAGTCCTAGTTCCACCCCTGCTCTCCACCTCCAAACTCAAGATGTTCCGGACTCATTGCTGGTTGAGTACTTGCTGGTACTTCCGGACTGCCCTGCGAAACCCCTGCAGCCAACCTCCACCAACAGGTTCCAAGCCTTCCATCCTTTCCGTTGGCACCCGAGAATCAAAGCCTGATATTTCTAAAGCTTACGCTTGTGTGCCTCTTCCATCCTCTCTTCCCAGGGTACAATGTTAGGTTTTGAGGCTTGTATTGAATATTTCCTCTGGGAATTTGATTTGCTTCTTAAGGACTGCCCGTATCTTCCAGTCGTTTGCCGTGGCCCGGACTCCTTTAATCCTCCTCTCTGTTGCCGTGCTCTCCCCAGACCTAAGGAACTGAATGAAACAAGGCCCCTTAAAAAGTTGTTTTGGCTTCTTTCTTGCCTGCTCCACCCAGACAACCAGCTGAGTTAATATTTGGTCATGTCTCCACCAAAATTTCCCATTCAGCAAACTTGACCTGCACGAGGAGAGGACGTGCTCAAGATTAGCTGGCCTTCCGCAAAGCGTGCAGGCTCTCTGTCAAACGCCATGAAGGTTTGAAGGAGTAAGTAGGACATTATATATGGAACACAACAGAAACTCTCTTCCATGCTCCAGATGTTGTTACAAAGTGACCCCCGAAGATCTCCTTTGGGTAGCGTGAGGGTCCGTTTGTGAGAAAAATAAATGATGGCTCTACCCACAACAGCACTGTCGTACAAGGTGTAATTAAATTTATTGACAGCACCAAAGGTATACAAAAAAAATGAAACTCCACGAATACTGGGGTGAAGATATATTCCGTGTAACTTCAAAACCCAAAAATACAACAAAGAAACAACAAACTGAAAAACAAAGATGAAAAAAAAATATATATAAAATATTCACAAAGGGTTTCTTCAATATACTCGCTTTAATGAATCGCTCACGGCACCACAGTTGCACGCTCACCTCTGACTTGGTTGACAAGTCCCAATTTGAGTCTGGCCTCCTCCTTTATAGGCCATACTCCGCCCCCTCTACGGACATACCATTGCTTTGGTAATTAAAACAATCTTTCATTAAACTAACTATATGCAAGAGATATAGAGTGTTATAAAGTATATAGCTTTAAACCATTCATCATATAAACCTAATAAACATAACAAACAAAATAATAACACAATAACATATATATCTGACACTATCTCTCTTATTTGTCAGCCCCCTTACAAACCACAAACATGGTTTCACCGGACTCCGAGTGTAGTGCGCCGGCGCGACGCCAACAGTGACGTCATAAGCGTGCGCCACTCACCCCATCGGTTTCGCCAGCGCGGCCAGCCAATACGGCTACAACAAACACTCGCAACAAACAAATCACAGAATACACGACACATAACCAATACAAAAATGTGTGTTGGGTGCTATGCATGACCGGATTAATACTACTGCAGGGGATTGTATTGCGTGAAACTGTCCATGGGCTATCGGGCTTGCGTGTGCACCCGCACCACCGACAGCAGAAAACAGAAAGGAAGGGAAAAAAATCTGTGTGGGGAGTATGTGTGTGCGTTATACCCAGTGGGATATCTACTTCATCACAGATGTCCTGCCAGGTCAGAACCCTCTCCTGTACACTACACACTCCCAACTTGTCCAGCTGCCCTGCTTTTCATGGCTGCAGACTTAACATGTCGACTTTCCCCCTTTGCCTTATGGACCTCCCTCTGCACCATGCCACGCCAGTCCCTCGGATTCGCCCACTTCCAGCTTGCCCTGGTTGAGCAACCTAGCCATTGCCTTCCCTGGGCCACTGACCTGACGGTGTCAGCCTGTTTCAGGCGCTCCTCCGCCTTCCTACCCCTTGCGACCCGTTCTAACCTCAATGCCTGCCTGACGTACTCTTACATCTTTACTGTTTCGCAGCATCATAGCCTGCCATGTTTTTGTTACCTTATACTCCTCCACCACTGATGTTACTGGCAGCTGCAGCTTGCTGCCTGTGCTATACATACAGGCATGAGCAGAAGCTTTATGGAACCATGCTGAACCATCTCCTCAAATAGTTAAAATAGTCCAACCTCTCCACAGTAGAGACAGGTACCTCATAAAGGCCAGATCAATCTGGGTAGGACCCTATGCTGGTAACCCCAGGCCTTATACTTGCCAGGCAAGCTGCTCTTCTCCAGGGATGTCATCCAGGTTTCAACTTCCTTAAACATTTCCATCACACTCTGCTCGTCATTGAGGTCTGCCCTGTACCACTTTCCCAAGCTCTCCACTGACTTTCCTTGGACTGTTGGCATGGTGTCCTCTTTGATCTTAAAGGTACAATAAAAATCACTTGCACAGTGTGACATATTTCCTGCAGTTGTGTACTTACAATATCCCAAATGTCCCCAAAGATTTTTTATTTCAGAGAAATTCCAATTTTAAATAAGTGGCCGTCCCGGAAAAAAATGTCGCCTGTCAATGACGCAATATTCGTGCTATCCTCGGTTTCCGTTCATACTGCCATAGCCATGACGTAACCTTGATCTAGCTTACTGCTAGTTTCGTATAGTAAACGAACTAACACGTAGTAACGTTATAACATTATAACTTTCAACACACATTTAAATGCCGTTTAGTGTGATAGTGTAACGTTACACCAAGTGAAGCAGCACTGCGTTACCTCACACAAGTTTAAGTCGTCTAATAAACTGACCAGTGTGAGTAATCTAGCACTTGCGGGTAGTTCGGTAGAATTAAATGTCCTTATTCCTTTATATCCGCGGGACTCGCGTGTGATATCTGTCTCTTTAGCAATCGCGACCTGCTTCATACCACTGTAATGTTAAAAAACATGAATGTTTGCACTCATCCATAAACATTATTAGATCCATCAGTTTGACAGCAAGTCCCATCATTCAGCTCATCACTGCGTCATTAACCTACGCCTTTGTTATTGTTGGAAACTGTGCCCTCTTGTGGCGGAAAAATCGTACATATTGTGCCTTTAAAGGGATACTCCACTTTTTTGGGAAATAGGCTAATTTTACAACTCCCCCAGAGATAAACTGTTGAGTTTTACCGTTTTTGAATCCATTCAGCCGATCTCCGGTTCTGGCGGTACCACTTTTAGCATAGCTTAGCTAGCATACATCATTGAAGTGGACAAGACCATTAGCATTTCTAAAAAAAAATGACTAGAATGAGTGCAGCAGGCGTAATGAAATGACGTAGCGCCTGAAAATAGTTCCGTTGTGTTGACGGAAGGTAGCCTATTTTCAGGCGCTGCGTCATATCATTACGCCTGCTGCTCTCATGGTACGGCAGTGAAGTTTCTTGATTATTACGCAGGAATGAGAGTATAGTTCCTAGCCATATCAGCCTAGAAAATCGCAACTTTACATTTTTCGTCGGTCTTAGTGCACGATGTAACTACAGAAGAGTCAAGTTTTAAATAGGAAAAATATCGAAACTCTTTGGTCATTTTTTTTTAGAAATGCTAATGGTCTTGTCCACTTCAATGATGTATGCTAAGCTATGCTAAAAGTGGTACCGGCAGAACCGGAGATCGGCTGAATGGATTCAAAAACGGTAAAACTCAACAGTTTAACTCTGGGGGAGTTGTAAAATGAGCCCATTTCCAAAAAAAGTGGAGTATCCCTTTAAAGTGAAGCCGATTCTGGACGTGTTCCCTCCTCAACACAGAACTTCTGGAATTTGCGGGTTTGAACTCCATCCTTGCCCAATCGGCGAGCTCAACAAGTCCTCCAGTGTCCATTTTCCTTTGGGTACTGATCTTACCGTGATGGTCAAGTCATCCATGAATTCTCTGATAGGCACCTGTTGGGTGCCATCTGCCAGTACTGCACCCCTATGTAACTTCTCGGCTGACTTGACAAGGAGATTCATTGCCGCTGAGAACAGAATGACTAGCCTCGCCTGGTGAAACGCATGTTAACCTTTTCTGAAGTAGCTCAGCATTTATTCAATTATTATAATTATAATAAATTATAAAACTGAGGCAAGCCAAATTAAGATTGAATGGTTCACATTTACAAAGACTTTTCATTCAAAATATTTATCTTGAGATCACTGAGATTTTGAAGCAGAGTACTACTTGTACCTCTTGTACACACAAACAGTGGTGCAAATAAAGAACGAAAGCATGGGAAACCACTTAAGTAAAAAAGCGATTTTCCCACATAGAAGACAACACACAGACATTAGTTCAAATCGCTCTAGTCTGCAATAAAAGCTTGAAGGCAGTAATTACATCTTACATCATTTCCTCTATATTATACACTTGCCCTCCAGCACCCTTTTTCCTCCCACTCCCTTGTACCACCTACAATGTGAACTTCTATGATGGTCTAATAGTCAGTGGTGGAGAGAAGATGCAGCTCCAGACTTTCAGAGAGACATTTCACACATATGCACCACCCATTCTTCCTCTTTGTTTATTAAATTGGTGGGTACACACAATCTGTCCAAGAACATGCTGTTAAAACACTGACTGCCTATCGTCTGAAGTGTGTTAGATTCTCAGAGGGAGTGATAGGAGATAGATTATCACATTCTGCATACACTTGATACAAGAGCTTATTTTCTGTAATAAAAGACGTAAATGATGTGGTCATAGCTATTTACATTGTAAAATATATAAAGTATTGTTAAATAGTTTTTTTCTCAAATTGAATAGGTTGTTGATCACATTTGTTCACAACATAAACTGACACATCAGTGAATTAGAGAAATAATTATTCTTACCATTTACGATTTCAAGAATAATACTGAATATTTCCTCTGTTTCAGTGGTCACTGGAGGGTCAGATGGAATAGGCAGAGCATATGCAGAAGAGGTAACCGCCTATGTGAAAACTGTTTCTTGATCTTGTCGTGATCTTGTTAGATTAGTTCAATAATTAAGTATAAGGATAAAAAGGTAACAGTAAAATGTGTTAATGCTTATCATAGACTGCTTATCTTTATAATGACCAGATTATACACTGACTACACTAATTATTACTTTTATTCTGCAAAGATGCATTAAATTGATCAAAATAAATGCATTAAAGACATTTATAATGTAACAAAATATTTCTATTTCAAATAAATGCTGTCTTTTTTAACTTTCTATTCATCAAAGAATAATGAAAACAATGTATCATGGTTTCCACTACAATATTGTCACAATGCAGGCAAGGGAAGAAGAACATAGAAACTCATATGCAGCAGATTTAGTGTATTTACAAAAAAAGGCAATCCAGAAGACAAAAAGCAGTCTAACAGCTTCACACATGTAAAGACAATTCAGGACAAAGAGAAGAACCAAACTGAGGGCTTAAATACATGGCTAAATGAGGAACCAAACCAGATTCAGGTGAACATAATCAATTAACCAATGAGTAACCACAGAAACCAACTAGCAACTGGAACAAAGGGAACAGGAACTAAACACAGGAACCAAAGGAAAAACAACAAGTGTCCACAACATAACCGTTACAAATATTAAGCAGAAATACAAAGTTTCTCAACATTGATAAGTTTTAATTCACCAAATCAGCATATTAGAATGATTTCTGAAGGATCATGAGACACTGAAGACTGAAGTAATGTGTATACCTGTGAAGTAGGCCTGTAACCAGGGGTTAAAGTGGGCCGGAACTGCGTTTCGGCACCTCAGATAAATAAATAAATAGATTCATTAATCTCAACAAATCTCGCTAGTCCCGATATGGGCCGACCGACCGACCAACCTCCCTTCCTCCCCGCTGAACGCGAGCGATTACAAATGCGTGAAATGCACTCACGGTGGTTGAGCGCGGTAAAGTTAGTTTTAGGTTCGATATTTCACCTGACATTTGATTTCCCTAGCCACTGTTCTATAGGGTCTTACAAAGATATCAATAGCAGGATTAGTTTTAACATTATGTAACCATTGTATATCGACATGAAATATTCGTTCAAAATCAGCTACGTGCATTAATGCTGCATATTTATACCTGAGAATTCTTTGACGCGTTTGCACAGCGCATGATGAGGGAACGTCTGCCAATTCCACCAACTGCGTTAAACATAGCCTATAATTTGTATTATTTAAAATTACTTTTCAAATTCCAAAGCTTGTAGAAGGTTCCTATTGGCAATACTGACCTGGTAGCCTTGAGTAAATTAACTTGTTTAAGAAAACGATTCATAAAACATAAATATCAGTTAAGCCTATGTTTACTTTCTTCACTGACACAGACGAAAATGAAAAGACTATCAGTCAAAGTTCAGCTTTAGGAAGGGAAGAAATAGGCCAGGATAAGGAGACTGAGAGAAAAAGTCAGATGTAGATGAGGAGAGAGAAGGTATTGACAAAATAATCTAATGCCCACTCAATGACATGGTTTTAAAGCTATTTATTATCCATTTTTCGGGCCTTCAAAAGTCTTAAATTGCACATTTGTAGGTCAGAGAAATCAATTTTCTCAGGGGAGCATGTCCCCGAACCCCCCTAAATACCTCACATTTTAATGTGCATGTATGTGGGTGGGGCTGTGGATGATAATTATACCAAAAAGTATTGCTATACCACGATACTCAATATGTCGTCCCACGGTGAGCCATTTTTCCCTGTTGCACCTACACAAAAGTTTAGGGTTCCCCCACCTGCCAAATCCCACTTTAACCACTGCCTGTAACCAATCTGGAATAGGAAGTAATCTTTAGTTTAGGCTGCTCCAAATTCTTTGTTAAGATTACCAGCTCATCCCCTATCCACCTTATTCCTTCGCCCCATGACGCTTCGCGCGAATTATGGGTGTAACTTCCGTTAAGCTGCAAACAATCAGTGAAAGGCTCACTCTATGAACGCAATACGTTAAAAAAGTGTCACAATGAGATGACATTAATCGACTCACCCTTCAACCATCGAACATTAAAATGAAATTTAAAAGTTTAAAAGAATCAACAAGGTACTTTCAACAGACCAAAAATAGCCCCAAAAGCGCGAGTCTTTGGTTAAATATCACTGTAGTAGGCAAATATATATCTGTATTGTATAACAAGCCTTAATCAAAAATGTTCATTAACTTCAGCATTACGTGACACTATATAAAAGTGATTTCCGTCATTTTGACAGATTATAAATTGCATTTACCTGTGAAAACAAACCTGGAAAGAGATGAGGATTTGAGGAGAGTAACGAGAGATTCTTCGTGCATTCCAGTGAATTATTAATGGATTATCATAAATTAAATTCGGGAGAACAGACCACAAATGTGCCGTATGTTGTCCTTTTTCATACTTTTACAGCGGATTGCAAAGGAAAAAATAAAAATCATCATGAGGAAAAGAAAGCAGCGACTGAAAAGAGCTCTTGCCATAGATATTCTTGTTATAACATGTCACGTTAAAATACCAAGTATAACGTTAATCTCATGATGTCTGAAAATAAATCATGAAGGAAAATTGACAGCTCATCCAGTCAAACTGACGGACCAGCTTTATTTGTAGGGCAACCTTATGATTTGAAATGATTCGTTTTAGCCTTTTTGAATGGAAGTTCCCCAAACCGGAAGTGCCACCCATAATTCAAAACGCAGTAAGGTGGATAGATATAGGCTGTTTCCATAAGACTTTACAATCTTTGTATTTCCTGTCTTTCTGTGCAGCTTTCAAAACTAGGTATGAATGTGATCGTCATCAGCAGAAATCAAGAGAAGCTTGACAGAGCAGCCAGGAAGATCGGTGAAGTGTTTATTGTTGAAATTTCAGTTTCCTAGCTTTGTCTGTAGTCTTAGAGCTAATTTATAACCAGCTTTCTTGTTCTGACAGAGCTCACTACAGGAGGGAAAGTCAAAGTAATAGCTGCTGACTTCACCAAAGACGATATATATGGACACATTAAAGAAAACATTGAGGGTTTGGATATTGGTATTTTAGGTCAGTAGGTATCAGATATCAATGTGTTAAATTATGAGCTGCAGTTATATTAAAAACAGTAGTTTTACTGTTACTTTTCTTTAAACACAGTGAACAACGTTGGGATTCTACCGAGCCAAATACCCTGCAAGCTACTTGAAACATCTGATTTGGAAGAAGTGAGGTCACCTATGGTTCATACAATCATTGTTCATGCATTTATCTTTATAAATACTAAGGGTTTTCAAACTGTTCCTGCATGGATCCTCCTCAGCACTATGCATTTTTGATATCTCTCTTATTTAAAGTGGGCATGAAACTACAGTATATGCTACTAGTATCGGCTCCCATTAAAGGTGGGGTAAGCGATATTTGAAAAACGCTGTTTGGAAGTTAGTCGGACCGACAAACAAAGAAACAACAACAAACATGTGTAGCCAATCAGCATTAGGCCCCCTAATGCTCGTATGGCAGTGGAGAAGAGAGGACGAGCAAGAGGGAGATTTGAAGAAAGACTACAGAAATAATGAGACAATACAAAAGAGAAAAGCTCAGAAGAAATCACTGGAAATGAAGGGTTATGACTGGGCAAGAGTGTTAGAACCCTTTCTAGCGCTGGAGAGAGCTAAGCAGGAAGGTCTGAAGACAGACACGGAGGTTGCTTTGATTCCACTTCACACGTGAGTAACACTGGGTTTGAGTGTCATTGTTTGGAGCTGCTGTGCTGTTAGCAACTAACAACAAACTCGTTTTATAATTACTATTGTGTACTGTACGTTCTTTTTTGGTGGTTCCTTGTCATTCGTTCATTATCTGCGCTTTATTTTTCATGAAGCATTATTTTGTTGCACTTCTGCTATGATAAACAGACATCCACTCTTGAATTGTGTGCATTACGGAGGCCAGCTAGAGAGTCGCACTGACGACTGCTAGAGAATGTGGTGTTTAGTGTGTTACGATTTCCTGATTGGTCTAGGGGAGGAAAACAGCAGCAAAAATGTATGTTGGTGAAATGAATGTGCAACAGCATGAAGCCACCCAGTATCCAGAATTGTTTCACAACACCCCAAATAACCACATAATATTTCATGAAAGTAGTTATTTACAAATTAAGCAAAACTTATCAGATTCAGAAGGGGGTATTGCCAAAACAACTAACATAATCAATCTAACTCCTTATTAACCAAACTAATTAAACTAAAAGAAAAACAAGAGTACAGCAAAATAAGCCAACTCCCTTGCTAACATGAACAGGAGAAAAAGTCAAGTTCAAAATAAATGGCACCCACCTCCCTACTAACCCCACAAATAAAGAAATAAATGATTAACTAGCAAACTTCAAGTAAACCAAGATAAAAACAGATAAACCATACAATGAATAATAATTGAAGTCAACACTCACTTCTGCCTTTTAAGTCTCAATCAGAGTGTGATCAAAAGAGACTAAAGAGAAAAATCTATTTCAATAAATAGAACACAAATGAGGTAAAGATGCTTCAACTACTTGCTTCAACTACTTGCTTCAACTACTTGCTTCAACTACTTGCTTCAACTACTTGCTTCAACTACTTGCTTCAACTACTGTTGCACACAGTAAAGCCACCACCAACACAGCTCTGATGATGGTTGCAGTTTAAATACACTCCTTCCCCTCCCAGCATCCAATCACAGCAGGGCATTGATTATTGGCATCAGGTGGAAAACATTTCTCCTACGAAGAGAGACAGGGAGAGAGAGAGAGAGAGAGAGAGAAACAGAGCACAGCTTGGGCACACAAACAAAACCTTACGGCTCTGGATGTAACAAGTGTCATTGTACACTCACCTCGCATGCCGGCGATCAGAGATCGAGACCGACTCGGAGCAGGGCGGTTAGGATTGAAGAGAGGGGTGTGTTTGTTTGGGTTGACTTCAAATACTAACAATATCCAACAGCATTTTTGAAATATCGCTTACCCCACCTTTAACAATGTTGTAGTAATTATTTTAGATATTGGAAATAGAAAAATGCCCACTGTAAAACTACATGGAAGCATGTTTTTTTTAAATAAAATATCACAAATATCAGAAATGAAATTCTATCAAGCAATAGTTGTATGGTAGGCCTATTACAAAGTATTTATCAGAAACTGTTGTTTATATGTTTCATGTGGTGGCCTCTAGAGAATACATGATGTTATCAACTGCAATGTAAAAGCCATGGTTAAGGTGAGTAAATGCTAACAGAACTGTACACTATGAATATTGTTGGCTCTGTGAAGAAATGCTTATGTTGCTTTATTTTAAAAGCGTCTGCTAAATCCATACATGTAAATGTAACTGGGTCTTAACCACTCACTCATATACTGTACAAATAGATAAGGAAGTCAACTGGTGGGTCGCAGTGGTCACATCCAAAATTGAGTCACAGCTCTGACAGGGTTGCAGAAAACAAGGAAAAAATGCAATTAATTAAATGCAACTAATGATATAATTGTGCATAGTTAGCAAAAATACAAGGTTTTTTTTTTACTTTAAAAAAAGGTAAAATCCTAAATAAAAGCCAGTTGAGAACTATTGGTTCAGTGCTAAAGAGATTGATTTAATAGAATGCACTAACACGTTTTTTCTCCATATTTAGATGTGCAGAATTGTCCTTCCAGGAATGCAGCAAAGGTTTGGCCTTCTCTGTTGACTAGTTTTCTCGTAATTTTCCACACATATTTTGGTGATCCCCTTTAGACACTCTGTTGACTGTAAGTAATGTTGTACCTACATGTAAACTAACTGAGTATTAGTAGTCTGTTAGATGTAGGGTTAGGGTTTTAAGAATAAGGGGTTAGGGTTAGTAGGATAAGTTGACATGTAGTTGCAAAGTTACTTATAGTCAGTAGAATGTCTGTTGGGGTCCATCAAAATAAAGTGTTAGCAGATATTAAGCAGAGAGTCTACTAATATTCTAATGAGAGTTAGTGGACATGTAAGTGCAATGTTACTTATAGTAAAAAAAATGTCTAAAAGGGACCTTTAAAATAAAAATAAGAATGCCATAATTTTAACATATGACAAGCACACTGACAATAAGTATTTCCTTAGAGGAAGAGGAGTCATTCTGAATGTGTCTTCTGGAATAGCCAAAATACCCTGCCCTATTTACACCTTGTACTCAGCATCAAAGGTAAAAAAAAAAAAAGAGCAAACCATCTACACAAAGTTGAAAAGCACTGTTTTAGCAATGTCAACATATCAAATCCAAAATATATTTTCAATCATATATCTTTTCAGGTTTTTGTGGAAAGATTTTCACAGGGTCTTCAAGCTGAATATAAATCCAAGGGAATTATTATTCAGGTAGAATAAAAAACTTTCTACACTAACCACACAACAGTTAAATAATGTGTTTTTTGTGTGTGTGTATCAAATTTACATATCTGCTAACCAGAAGTGAGATATCAATGTCTCCCTTCCCTAAAGTCTTTTTTTTTTTCCAGACAGTGGCTCCATTTGGGGTTTCAACATCAATGACGGGACATCAGAAGCCGGATATGGTTACATTCACAGCTGAGGAGTTTGTGAGGAGCTCATTGAAGTATCTGAAGGCTGGTGACCAAACATATGGCAGCGTCACTCATACCATATTGGTAATGACCTCTGTTTATTAATATAGTTAAAGTGCACTCTTAAAAATAAAGGCTCTTTATTAGCATCAGTGGTTCCATGACAAACCTTTAACATTTATGGAACCTTTCCATTGCACAAAAGGTTATTTATTTATAGTGGGAAAATGTTGTTTAGATTATTCAAATGTTCTTCACGTTAAGAAAACAATGGTTCATTTAAGAACTAGTCACTGAAAGGTTCTCTTGAGAACCCAAAATGGTTCTTCTATGTATGGCACCTCTGTGAAAACCCCTTTTTTTTAAAGAGTGTGTGTGATTTCTGTGCATGTATTGTTTCAACGTGTAATTCTCCTATAGGGCGGGATTGTGCAGTCCATTCCCACCTGGGTCCTGCAGAGTGAAGCGTTTCAGCATCACTTTAAGGAATATGTGAAGGAAAGGGTCGAAAGCTAAGAGTTGTCATTCTCAAAGTTTATATAGAGTAAATAGTATTGAACATTTAAACACCACAACTGTTGTGTTTGTTTGCACTAATTATGACAATACAGTATGCAAAAATAAAAGACTGTAAAAGAAAGTGTGAGAACGAAACAACTGACAGGCCTCTGTCCACGGTCCTTCAAAATATGCTATATCAGTGTTGATAATGGGATGTAATAATTATTAATCATAATCATATCAGTAGACAGGAGATAGTTGAGCAGAACTGACCTTGATAACAACATTAACAGAAGGTCAGTTTCACAAAGGCCAAATGACAGTCGAAGAGATGTGACCTTGTTATTTTTTTGTCTATATTTTAAGATTAGAAAATGTTTGGTCTTATTTAAAGAGCAAAATCATGTTTTCATTTGAAATATCCTGTTATTTGGCGCCACATAGTGGTTAAATACACTTTCACATGATCTTTAAAGCTTCAAGATGACGCATTTTTTCTCATTATCCCATTATTTTGACTTTTATGTGACTAATCACTCTGTAGCTGCAATGACGCACTTTTTTTATGGATATACATATTAACATATCTTAGAACAATTTTAAGAACAGTTGGTCAGAGTCAGTCTGCAGATTTGAGTTGACAAATTTCACCGAATTTTCCATTTAACACAGATATTACACACTTCACACAACGCCACACACTACACACTTATGGATCTTGCTGTAAAGTAACTGCAGTAATTACTTTATATCTCATTTAACTTTAAAAAAAAAAAGAGCCGCTAGTTTTGTTTCTGACTCTGACATGCGGCCAGCAGAGGGCATATTTTTGATTCTGCAACCTGAAGCGCGTCACATGCTCGCATGTAGTGTGTGGATTCAGATTTCAAAGATCTCTTGAAGATGCTGAGCAGGTAAAGGACACAACAAGTCCAGTCTGATGGGGGATTTCCATTTGAGATGTAGCTGTTAATAAAGCTGTTCACCCTTAAGCGTGCTGTCCTGACTGAAATACAGCTGACAGGATAACAAGTTTCCACTCATATCAAAGGGGTTTGTGTTTTTACGACAGGGAACTTCCACTGATAATTTATAATGATACTGCTTGTAGCAGAAAAGACATTTATGTGGAATAAGGCAATAATTAAAATAAAAAAAAACACTGGGAAATGTATTGTTCATCATGTCTAAGCTATGCCTCCTTTGACTGCAGCAGTGATTTCTGAAAATTTAATGTTTTTTTTAAAACAAGCTTCCAAGTTGCAGATAAGCAAAATAAAAGTTGCGAACTTAATACCCCAAATCTGGGGAAACCACCAACTATATGTCAAAACAAATTCATGTGGTTTAAATCGTGTACAAACTACCCTGTATCTTGAAATAGCCTCACTTTCTCCATTCCATCATTTTGCAGAATTATTTTTTCAGCAAAAAATGTGTTTTGTTTCTATTTCATTAAATTAATTGGTTTCGATTAATTAATTAACTGCTATATAGCTAATTAATCTAAATGAGCCAACTTTTCACTAGCAAAAATTTTACTCAACAGTTCACTATAGTTGCTGACTCCTTTTTTTTTTGTTGCTAAGGCTAATTTTATAGCTCACATTTTATGTATCCTAAATTTAAAAAAAAATCTATAAAAGTATTTGAAAAGTAAGTAATTTTTAAAAAGAGTAGCCTAATTATTACAGAAATAATATAAGTGCGAACTGAATGTAATATGTTCAGACACCTAATTGCATGTCATTTACAATTAAATGAAAAAAATTATAATTTATATGAAATGCAATTATTTGAAATTACTTACTTGATTAGGATTTAAGTACATCTTTACATATAACATAATTACTTATTGACATTACTGCCATATGTACTGAATAGCAATTATGATTGGCTAATTAAAATATTATTTAATGTCATTTCCATTAAAACTTGTATGTCATGTATTTAAATATATTTGTAATTAGCCTACACATTAGTAATGATGAAGTTGCAATATATATAACCTATATTAACTTTTAATGTAATATCAAATAACACACTACACGTACTACTTTGCATGTGCTTTAGATGGTCAACACATAAAAATAAGTGTACTTTAAAGCATGAGAGAAGATACAAAGGGGTCATTTACACAAAACCGTTTTCGATACCGAAACGGTACCATTATCGTCTCCGTGTAAAAAAAAGCTAATTTGTGAAAACGGTGATGTAGGTTAATGCACATGCGTTCGTGTTCAGTCTATGGGCGCATAGTGTTTCTTAGACATCGACAACTACTGGCCTGGATGCATAATACAGCCTCTTTTTGTCATTTTCGCGGATCCATGTGAACGGGATCATTTGACAATGTTATCGTCTGTACACGAAAAACACAGAGGAGAAACGTTTCCATTTTTAGTACATCGTTGTTGTGTAACCGTAAAAGCCTATAACTTTTAATTTGACATTATTACAAAGGGCACTTTTTAAAAGTGTAAGTGTTTTAAGAATCATAGACATGAATGTGTAGGCCTAACTCTCTTTAATTACACTTAAGTAGCCTTTTATTGAATTAATATTATAAGTATTTAATATTATAAAAAAAATTGCTTTTAAAATACGTTTACTTTAAAGCTGCAGTCCGTATCTTTTCCTCTTTGTCGCCATCTCTGTTTGAAATCTGTAACTGCATGATTCGCGGAATTATCATCTTTACGTGGGTTGTAAATCGGCATGAAACAGCGCGGATGAACACAGTGTTTTGAGGCGAGTGGTGCTGTCAGTCACCGCGCTGTGTGGATACTGTCATACAGAATCACAGATTCACTTTTTGAAAGTTTGACCAACATAAGAATTTTCATAAGAAAATGTCTTCTGAACAAGTAAGTAAAATCCATTTTTGTTCTGACCAACTAAGGGGGAAAAAGCATTCGACATGATAAGCTTCATTAGATTTAATCAACGCGATTTACAGCAACCGTGCAAATTATAGCCTACTTTGTTCTCAAATTGTTCATGTTAACAACATCAGCATTGCGTGACTAATGTTAAATTTAATGTGTTTTATGGTTACCTGTGTAGTTCAGAATTCATATTCTCCATAATAGCAAAACGAGAAAGGCACAACAAAGGAAACTCCATAACTGTGTGAATTAAGAAAACGTACTGTTACACGATTGAACTATTGAAATGTCTTACTTGTTCAGCAGAAAAAGGCCGTCTCTTCTTCCGTTTTGAACCCCTTCAAAACACGGAGTTCACGCACTTTTCAAAAGCCCCACCGATGTTTAAATCCTTGTGTTCGCATGAGACGGTTTCTTTCTCTTTCTCTAGCCACCTTAAATCCGAAGTACAAAGTCTTTTGGGTTTTATAACTGCTGAATCTCCAGTTGACACTGATGATTGTTGTTTGGATCTTTCTGGATGCCATAAGTTTAATCATGTAAAGTGCTGCGAGAAAAGCCCATCTCTACATCTCGTCACGCGCAGTATAGCCGGCTAGCCGAAACTCCTTTATGTGTACGGGTGTGACGTAATGACGCAAAGACATGCTCGAATTTCCCGCGGAAACCATTATTTATTATCATTATTAAAAGCTAACCGTTTTGAAACTAGCTATGGCAAGCAGATAGTTTTGACCACTGGCAGAATAAGTTTTTTTTAATATAATTATTTTGGATTATTTTTAACTTAAAGTTACGGACTGGAGCTTTAAGGATACATTGAAGTACACTGAAAAGTACGCTATACAATTAAGCATAAACCACAGCTCACCACAAACATATATTGGGTACATTTGGCACAGTTTTTAGAAAATAGATGAATATAAATAAGACACAGTGGCCTGGTTTCATTTAGTTTTTATAAACATACCTTCGAAAAAACATTACTAGCGTCTTGAGACAAAACAATGGCACTGACATAATTTAAGTTATACGGGCAGTTGAATGTTTGAATCTGATTGGTTTACGAACATTATAAGGTGTGTATTTTCAGGGAAACACACGGCTAAAGTAGTTCCAGGCGGGTCTCGACCCCATTACAGTTCCATATCACTTCGCCAAATGATTTCATTTATTTCAAAGGTCACAGCCTACAACAACAAAAGAACCAAAACCCACAACGACAATGACCAAGCAAGTAAATATAGTAAACAATAGGATAAAAACAGCAAATTATTTCCATGTTTTTGCCACAAAATTACGTTTTATTATGTACGGACACACACTCTCACAGAAACATCTTGTCAGCGCTGCCCTGACAATTTCATCAGTAAAACAGTTTAACAACTTAAAAGCAACAAGACATTTCAGCCCGTTCTCATCCCAAGGCGTCATATACTGACGCTTTTGACATTTCGTCTACATCCAACGCACATGGCACCCTTTAGCGTCAATATCAGACGCAGATATATATGGGGCAGAAGGCGCCTCCTAGCGGTCTAACCCTAACCCTACCCCAGACCTAAACCTACCCATATCTATCTGCGTCTCATATTGACACTAAAGGGTGCCATGTGCGTTGGATGTAGACGAAATGTCAAAATATGTCAAATATGACGCCCTAGGATGAGAATGCGTTGGACATTTCTCATAGCGATGTAATAACGGCTCTGTTTTTGGAGCAGATAAACTTCTAACTACCAACTAACAGTTTCGCTATTAGTAGAGAAACTGATGCTGCTGAACACTGTTGAGAGAGACATAGACTGAGATAATTCATACACGCTTGATAACTCTCTCGATCTCTCTCTCTCTCTAATAACTGCATTAGCCTCCGTTACTAGCTCTAAAATGACGTTTTGGAAATAGCACCGGAGGCTTGGGATTAGATGCGTAAGAAATTAGTCATACACACACGACTGTTTTAAGGATAAAAACCTGACAAATGTCTTGAAATACATCATCTGAACAATGTTTTGAGGTGTGATAATCGGAATAAGCGGAACAATTGACTTCGGGTCGTTGAATTATAGAAAAATAATGCGCACCCGAGGCGTAGGGTGTGCATTATTTTTCAATAATTCAATGGCCCATCGTCAATTATTCCATACTGTATTCCAGTTCAGTTAAAACAGCTCAATAATGCATTTTAGTCTGGGACTAGGCTTGAGACTTGTCTGTGAAACCGGGGGATTGTGTTATAAAATATGACATGTTTTGTTTACTAAA